CTCTCTGTCTCTCTCTCTCTCTCTGTCTCTCTCTGTCTCTGTCTCTCTTTCTCTCTCTCTCTCTCTCTCTCTGTCTCTCTCTTTCTCTCTCTCTCTGTCTCTGTCTCCCTGTCTCTCTCCCTCTCTCTCTCTCTCTCTCTCTCTCTGTCTCTCTCTCTCTCTCTCTCTCTCTCTCTCTCTCTGTCTCTCTGTCTCTTTCTCTCTCTCTCTCTCTCTGTCTCTCTCTCTCTGTCTCTCTCCCTGTCTCTCTCCCTCTCTCTGTAACTCCTTCACATAAATGAAACTGTAAAGCGACATCAGACCGTGTACGTAACGGTTGGTCCCATAAAACCGTGACAGAGCTTGGAAGCGCCTGTTGCCGGGCGACATCGTGGCTGTTGTGACGTCACAGCACAGCACACCACTCCCACGTTTGTGGTCACGTTTGTGCAGACAAACCTGCGGTGCCAGTTATGTGAAAGCACAGACACACGGGAACCTCGGTGCACAGACCTGATGCGTGATCACGGCGCCTAGCGGTTTGCGTACCTTCCGCGCTGTCCGTTCTGTGGTTTGGAGTGCGCACCTCCTACTTGTTACAGAAGTGGACTGGGGCCCGGCGCCGTGTGGGCTGGCAGCAGCCGTGTTCACTGCGCCTCTTGGCGGCAGGCAGAGGCCGCGTGGGGTGGGGGGTGACCGACCCTCCCCAGGCCAGGTGAGGGAGCCCTGCAGTGACGGAGCCCGGCTGGGCGGGTGGGGAAGGCGGGGGCTGGGCCTGCGGAGGGCACTTCCCGACAGACACCCTGAGCACTCAGAGGAAAGAGGGTGGGTACAGGGTGCTACCCGGGGTCCAAAGCCCTGCCCGGCTCAGAAATACAAAATGCAGACGTCTTTTTAAAAGGCATTATTTATTTATTTGAATGGGAAAGAGAGAGAGGAAGGGGGCCAGAGTGTGGTGTAGTGGGCTAAGCTTCCACCTGCAGTGCCGGCATCACATATGGGCACTGGTTCTAGTCCCAGCTACTCCACTTCCAATCCAGCTCCCTGCTGTGGCCTGGGAAAGCAGTAGAAGATGGACCAAGTCCTTGGGCCCCTGCACCCGCGTGGGGGACCCGGAGGAAGCTCCTGGCTCCTGGCTTCGGATCGGCTCAGCTCCAGTGGTTGCACCCAATTGGGGAGTGAACCATCAGATGGAAGACCTCTCTCTGTATGCCTCTCCTCTCTCTGTAACTCTGACTTTCAAATAAATAAATAAATAAATATTTTTAAAAAAACACTTAACAGCAGCATAAAGGCCACAAATGAACAGACACGCCAGGTCCGTAGGCCACGTGTGGCTCAGGGCTGACCGTGCAGTGTCTGCAGTCCTGCCTCTTAATGACACCCGTGTTTGGTTCTGGGGCCACTGTCACAGAGGCGCTGACGACAAGAGCCAGCCTCTTGTTGCCACAGCAACCGCAGCCCAATGTTGGCAGCAGTGCGCAGGACCAAGTCCCTGCTGGGGCTCCGGGCAGGGTCCGCTTGCTTCCTCTCTGCAGCTCCAAGGGCCAGCGATTTCCTTGGCTGTGGCTCCTCCTCTGATGTGACCACACCTGCCCCACGCTTCTTCCATCCCCACATCTCCTTTGGACGGTGCCTGGCCCTGTTACGTGGGCCTGCGATGACCCAGGGTCCGCTTGGGTCATCCAGGGCAATGTCCCCAGCTCGGGATCCGTGCCTGAATCACATCTCAGTCCTGTAGCCACACATCTTGACTGCTGGTATCAGTCTGCTATTTTTTAAAAAATATTTTATTTATTTCAAATGTGGGGCTCAAGGCACGTCTGCCCGGGGCTGCTGCTACCGAGAGGGCACGGACACTGACGGACACAGACGGACACAGGAAGCTCTTCTGACCCACGGGGCTCAGTAAGCCTCAGGGGGAGCCTGGGGCAGGGAGGATCCCCAAGACACCAGCGCCTCGAATGAAAATCTTCAGAGGACCAGGCACCTGCTGTTCCCCCTTCCTTCCACCAGATGGCACCCTTGAAACGCAACATCCACTGGGGCTGTGCAGGGTCCCAGGCCTTGAAACCTTAAAGGGCCAGGAGGACCGCGCTGCTGGGCTCCTTCTCCCTTCCTCCCTGCAGGAAGCAGAGCCGTCTGCCAATGGGGCTTCTCGGCCTCGTGACCGTGGACAGCCCCTGGTCAATGGGGTCGGGGTCGGGCCAAGGTGGTGAGGAAGGAGACCACTGGGGCTGCGGAGGGAGGAGGGAGTTGCCCCACCCCACAGCAGGGCAGGGGTCCCACGCACAGGTCAGCGGGGCTGCGTGAGTGTCCAGGCTTTGTGTCTCCCTGTGGGGACCACAATGCAAGGTGCCGCGGCGGCTGCCCGTGGGGAGAGCACACAAACTGTCCCCCAGGCAGCACGCAGTGCGGGGACACAGCGGGGACACAGCGGGGGTGAATGCCGCGGCCGTCCCCCGCACTGGCTGGCTCCTGTCTGGGTGCTCCCTGCGCACAGATGGTCTCCCTCAGGCTGTGCAGCCAGGAACACTCACTCCCATCCCCAGGCCATGGGAGGGCACGAGGGGCAGCTCCCGGGCCCGGTCCCAGGCCACGCAGCCCACCCGGGCATCAGGCGGAGCCCTGGGAGCTGCCGAGGGAAGCCCCCCGGCTGGCCACAAGCTTTCTCTCCGTCATTCCTAGCTGCAGGCCGGGGCTCAACCCGTCTGGAAAGTTCCCTACGCGTCTGCTCTCCCAGAGGCACCGGGGAGTAGCAGCAGCTGCAAGCCCAGAGCAGAATTTTCCCAGATAAAAGACCCCTGATGGCTTTCAGGGAGGGCGATGTGGTCCCCGTCCTCCCCCACAGACGGAACACAAACCCTGTAATTAGGGCAAATTCTAGCCGTCCTCACCCACTTGGGCCATAAAGCAGCTCCCGGAGGGGCGGGGCGGGGGCAGCCCGGCCACTAATGCAGACCATGTGGTGTTCTGTGCACAGAACTTCCCCGCGGGGACAAAAACCACAACCACACAAAGACCAGAGGGCCCCCGCCCCCGCCCCACCCGGCGGGGCTGGCGACTCCCTCCTGCGCTGGCCTGGTGGCCTGGGGGAACCCCTCTGGGTCACTGGGTCTCCCGTGTGAGCACAGCCACGTCCCTGGCCATCCGCAGGAGCCCAGGCGGCAGCTGGGCGGGCAACACAGGCAGCAGGCAGCTCCAGGCTCCCTGCTGACCGTGGGCAGCCTGCGCCAGCATCAGTGGGCGCTGCAGCCGCGTCCAGGCGGTTTCCAGCCCCCCCCCTCTCCCCCCAGGCTCCATGGAAAACATGAATCAGAAGCCGAGGCCGCCTGGGCCCCAGCTGCAGCGCGGGGGCACTGGCCGATGAGTCACAGCCCGGCTCTGTAGGCTGTTTTCCACATTTCTGTCCAGGGAGCGAGTCCCAGCTGGGCGCCCGGTCCCTTCAGCCGGTCCTCCTGGGACGAGGCTCAGCGTGTTTAAATGACACCTTTCCCGCTCCTGGGGACGCCGATGGAGGTTAACTGGGTGCAGCCTCCTGGGTGACAGGATCCGTGCAAGCCAGCAATGCAGGTCCCCCTCCCAACCCTACACAGCCTCAGGAAGAGGCGCCTTCCGTACCCACTCCACGGATGGAGGGGCCCGCGCTCTCCGTCCACGTCACGTCGCGAACTCACTGAGCACAGCCCTGGACACCCCTCGGCAGTGACCCTCTCCTGCTCCGCCCCAGCCCCTTCCTGTGGGCGTGGCCACCTCAGGGCAGCAGAGGGTCCCTGTCCCTCCAGCCCGGGGAGCGGACCCCGAGTGCTCGCCACACTTGAACAGGTGTCTTAGCAACCCGGACCCTTAGTCCTCTGTAGAAAGGCGGGGACGGGGATGCCGCCCCCTCCAGGGCCACTGCGGATCCTGCGCTCCGAGCCCTGCACCCTGTCACCCCGCCCCACAACAACTCGCCCCAGTCGCTGCCCCACTGCACCCACTGCACAGGTGAGAAGACTGAGGACCGGAGGTTGGCCGCGAACACTCAGCCGTCAGTGCGGCCAGGATCTGCGCGCTGGGCTGGTGGCTTCCGCGCTCCCAGCCTGGCTTCATCCTGCCGTCCCCTCCCTCCGCCAGCCCCCCTTGGCGGCCGGCACGCACGTGGCAGGGGGCACGGAGCCACGTGTGCGGGAGTGGGCTGCTGCACCCTGGCTCTGCTGTCACAAGATTCCTTCGCGGCTGACGGCGCGACTCCCTCTACTTCCTGTCCCCGGTGGAGGGCTCGCCTCTGCAGGGCCGTGCGTCAGCAACCTCCGGGCCTGGCAGCCAGACAGACGAGGGGCTCGTGAGGCTGGGGGGGGCACGGTTGTCAGATACAGCCGGTGAAGCCCCGAATCCGGTGCACTTAAATTCTGTACCTTGTCATCAGGCACATGGGATTCCCCAAACCTGCCGCTCCTTGATGGTTTTCTGACCGTCCCTGCTTGCCTACTGCTTGGGCGTTAGCTCCGCGCGGTGGAGCGCCGTGCAGTGCGTGGTGCTATGTGCCTCTCCCTGCCTTCTCAGAGCGCCTTTGAGTGCGGCCCTGCATGGTTCTTCTGCGGACTCCTTCCCAAGGGGCAGCCCCGCCTCACGTGGTCTGCACCAGCGAGGAGGTGGATGGGGGCTGGAGTTCTCCCATCGCAGGGAAAATGACTGATTCGCTGCCCGTGGGACGGCTCCGCAGACACCCCAGGATCCAGCCTGCGACACGGCCCCTCCCCACCCGTGGAAACGCGGTACCCGGGAGTCTGTGGCCAACTTGGACAGTGAGCGGCAAAGCCCTCTCCCTCCCTGCCGGCAGGCAGAGACGGCGTGGGAGACGCAGCCTGGGCCAGGGCTCATCAGGCTGCCTGTGGGGTCTCCAGCAGTCATGACGGGCTGAGCGCTAGCGAACCAGCCAGGCTGAGACCACGTTTCTTAAGACCACCTACTGGCCCGGAAAACAGATGCTGGACACTTGTGAAAAGCATGGAGTACGAATCACGCGTGTGCTGGGTCACGGAATGTACAGGAAAACCAGAGAGGCGGTAATATTCTTAACGTGTTTTCTTTTTTTTTTTTTTTTAAAGATTTTATTTATTTATTGGAGAGACAGAGACAGAGAGAGAGGTCTTCCATCCGCTGGTTCACTCTCCAAATGGCTGCAACTGCCAGAGCTGGGCTGATCCAAAGCCAGGAGCCAGGAGCTTCCTCTGGGTCTCCCACGCAGGTGCAGGGCCCAAGGACTTGGGCATCTTCTACTGCTTTCCCAGGCCACAGCAGAGAGCTGGATCGGAAGTGGAGCAGCCGGGACTTGAACCGGTGCCATAGGCAGAGACTTAGCCCACCATGCCACAGCACTGGCCCCTTTTATTTATTTTAAATAAAGATTTATTTATTTGAAAGGCAGAGCTACACACACACACACACACAGAAGCACACACACACAGATCTTCCATTTACTGGTTTACTCCCCGAATGTCCACAGTGGCCAGAGCTGCCCAGGCTGAAGCCAGGGGCCTGAACTCCATCGGGACTTGGGCCGTCCTCTGCTGCCTCTCAGGCGCATTAGTGGGGAGCTGGATCGGGAGTGGGGCAAACGGGACTTGAACCGGCGCCCACACGGGATGCCGGCACCGCAGGCAGCGGCCCTACCTGCTGCACCCCGACTTGTGTTCCTCTGGTTCCTGTGAATTCTGGGAGACCGTGAGCCCCTCCCCTGCATATCTGCTGCTGTCAGCGTTTTCTGTAAACAACCAAACAAGGATTCAGGGAGTCCTGGGTGAAGAGAGGCTCTGGGAGAACAGGACGGGCCTGGCCCCCTGGGGAGGCCCCGCCAGGGACTTCCAGGGAGACGCCCCTCCCTGCTGCTTCCCATGCGCCCCTGGTGGGCCAACGGCTCCTGGGTTCTAGGGAAGCGGGAACAAGGCAGGCCGTGTAACTAGGAGCAGACGGCGGAGGGCCCTGGGCCAGCGTCACGTTGGGGGGCACCCGGAGGAATCAGGCAATGCGGACTCCGACTTGCACCCCGCAGTGTGACCACAGTGCCTCGCCCTGCTTTCCCCCGGGGGGCTGCAGCCCATCTGCGTGATGGAGACGGCCGGAGTCTGCAGGGGAGGGAGGATTTGGCAGGCGAGCGCAGGAGAGAAGAAAAAGGAGGCAGAAACTCCAAGTGTTCTGGCTCTGTGGAAGGCTGCGTGGGCGGGACGTCCCGGAGGGCCCCGCTGAGCACACAGCACAGCGCTGGGCCCGGAGCCCCGGGAGCGGCTGAGCTGGCGTCCGGGGCCTGAGGCCCGGAGGAGGCTCCCCAGGCCCTCAGCTCCGTGTGCGGATGGAGGAAGCCTTCTCAGACGCCCAGCCTCCACCTGTCACCCGCACGATGGTCCTGGGGTCTGCTGCACCCACCCGAGACCCTCCCTGGGAGCAGGCTGTTGGGGACCCATCCCCCAGTGACCCCAGTACCTTGAAATTCACTCCTGCATATCTGGAGACGGGTGACGCCGCCCAAGGGAGCCAGCTGACCCTTGCCCTCAGGAAAGAGTGAAGAGTGGCAGCTGTGGGGCCTCAGGGCGGGCCAGACAAGGGACAGGCGGGAGGGGCGTAAGCGGGAGTGCTGGTCGACTGGGGCTGCCTGCTCCGTGGCTCAGCCACGGCTACACCTAGGGCCAGGGATGGTGTTTGTGGGTCTCATGATGTTTGAGGACTAGTTGAGAACTTTTGCAGAACTAGTTCTTTCTGATAGGTTTCTATTTTTAGTGCCGTATCTTACGATTTGGCTACTGCAAAAGCAAGCAGAGATCTATGGCTTGGTTTTGACTGACATGAGCTCCCGCGTGGCCCAGCGACAGTGACGTGAGCGTGTTTTCGAGCCCTGGAGAGCCCATTTGGGCGCAGTCTACTCTCGGTTGTCTGCTCCTGTGTTTGCCTGTTTCTCTGTTAGAGTGTTTATCTCTTTCTTTTTATTATAGGTCTCCCCAGCCCCTGCCCCATTGCTGCTTCCTCTTTTTTAGATTTTATTTATTTATTTGAAAGGCAGAGTTAGAGAGAGGGAGAGGCATGGAGAGAGAGAGAGAGACAGACAGACAGAGAGGTCTTCCATCTGCCATTCACTCCCCCAAGTAGCCACAACAGCTGGAGCTGAGCTGATCTGAAGCCAGGAGCCAGGAGCTTCTTCCAGGTTTCCCACGTGGGTGCAGGGGCCCCAGCACTTGGTCCATCTTCTGCTGCTTTCCCAGGCCACAGCAGAGAGCTGGATGGGAAGTGGAGATCTGAGACTTGAACTGGCGCCCATATGGGATGCCGGCACTGCAAGCAGAGACTTAGCCCACTGAGCCACAGGGCCAGCCCTAGAGAGTTTATCTTTAAGTCCATCCATCATGTATCTGGCCGGCCGCCTGCTTCCCTCCCCACCTGTCTTGAAGGTTTTCTTTATTGACCCCATTGCTGCTCTGATGCACGTGTGTGCCCCCCCCTTATCTGTGATTTGTCTTAGCGACAGGATTTTTGCTGTTGTTGCACAAAGCTTCCAATCTCCAGTTAGTCAGGCACATCTTTCCTCCTCTGTAGGAAATGCTCTTTGCCTTAAAGTTAGAACATCCTGATGTCACGTTGTCTCGAAGTTTCCAGGTTTTGCTTTTCCCACTACAGTCCCATTGTGCCTGCCCTGTTTTCTGAGCCTTCTGCCCCCTGCCCGCTGCCCTGCAAAGCCCACCCCAGCCGTGACGCGTGACGCAGCCCCGTCCGTGTGGGGCTCTCTTTCCTGGCTCTCAGCCTGGTCCCTGGCACGGGTGCGTGTCTCAGCCAGTAACTCGCTGTTCTACGTGTCAGCGCTTCAGAACACGTCTCCCTGCTTAATGCGTGAGTCCTTCCACTCACTCTTCTTAAATAGCCCGGCCGTTTGGGGCCATTTCCTCTTTCACACAAATTTTAGAACTGGTTTGTCACACCCATTAAAAGGCGCTGGTGAGAGTTTTACTGGCCTAGCACTAAGTTGCAGGGCAGTTAGGGGGCAGCTCGGAGGCGCCTCTTCCGCGAACGTGAACGCGGTCTTTCTGCCTCTCGCCGCTTATTGAAGGCACATCCTCCAGCTTGCTCTTCTCCCTCTCTTCCGGCAGCTTGTACTTTCTACTTGCTCCTGGAAGCTTTGCCACGGAATGCTGCCACGAATGAGGTGGGCATTCAATGCTGTTGCATGTGGAGTTTGTCTTTCCTGCGTGTAGCAAGCCTTCTGCTTTTCGGCTCTGATCTGCTGTCTAGCGGTCTGTAGCTTCGTTTAATTCCGCGCCAGCCATCACATCCTCCACCGATAACGACCGTTTGATCTTTCTTTTCCCATTCTTGCCTCTCTGCTGTTAGTTCGGTGTCTCAGGCTCTCCTGGGACGGTCAGTAGGAACTGTGACAGCAGGAACACTCTGTGTGTGCGTCTCTGACCTTGAAGGGAATTAACACGATTATTTCCATGCCTTTGCCACTGCACTGGGCTCTGTTACGGTTTCTGGTGGGTGCCCAGGGCCAGGCTAGGGGCATCTTCTTATTTTCCCACTGATGCTTTACTAAATGTTTTCTTCTACTCATACAAGCAGCTCCTACCAGTCTCTCTTCGAATCTGATCATGGCTGTTTTGGTGGCACTGGTGTGGATCTCACTGGGTGAAAAAGGTCTTTGAAACACGTCGCTGGACTCATTTTACTAACATTCCCTTTAGTGTCTTTGCATTTATGTTCATTAAGGAGATGGCGTTCGTCTTGCTAATTTCGGAGACTTCACTGTGTGTTGAAAAGCATTCCCACGCGGCGTAGTCTGGAGCTGGGCTCGTCTGTAAGATGCGGACAGTGCGGTCGGCGCACTTGACTTTGGTCTCCTGCTGTATTTCAGTGCTGGGCTCGGGCGCGAGTGAATGTGGTCACTGTGGTGCGCACCGATCACAACCAACGGCCACTGGTGCTTTTCTTGCTACTTTCCCTCTCTAACATTTTTCATCAACACGTAAAAATCACACGCATTGATGAGCCCCACGTGCTGTTCTGACACACGCACGCCTGTGTCAAGTTCAAGTCAGGGTGAGCACACCTCCCTCCTGAAACGTTTCTCATTTCTTTGCGGTGAGCACGTCCAAAACCTCTCCCTCGAGCTTTCTTGAAGCACGAAAGTTACCTGTGGCCGCGGACTGAGCCCCAGGGCACCGGAACCTGCTTCTGCTCTCTCTGGCCAACCACCCACCCCCCCTGCTCCCCCACACTGCTTGTCGCCGCTCGATTCACAGGAACAGAGAAACGGCAACAGCCCAAGTCCCCATCCGCTTATGGGAGGATGCAGAAAATCTGACTCACGTGAGCACCCGATGGAACACGACTCAGCCAGAAGCTGGGCGAGAGCCTGTCACTTAGGGGGACACGGCTGGAACCGCAGGTCGTCCTGTCACACACAACAAGCCAGGAGCAGAAAGGAAAATAGCACACCCCCCCCATCTGTGGGAGCTAGAAAAGCGGACCCCCCCCCCCCCGCTGTTGGTGTGCCTCCTGCCTGCTCCTCGGCACACAGTGATCCTGCTCAGCCTGTGCGTCACCTCTCTCTCTCTCTCTATCTCTCTCTCTCTCTCTTTTTTTTATTAGACAGGCAGAGTTTGACAGTGAGAGAGAGAGAAAGAGACAGAGAGAAAGGTCTTCCTTCCGTTGGTTCACCCCCCAAATGGCCACTACGGCTGGCACTGCACTGATCCGGAGCCAGGAGCCAGGTGCTTCTCCTGGTCTCCCATGGGGTGCAGGGCCCAAGCACCTGGGCCATCCTCCACTGCACTCCCGGGCCACAGCAGAGAGCTGGCCTGGAAGGGGGGCAACCGGGACAGAATCCGGCGCCCCAACCGGGACTAGAACCTGGGGTGCTGGTGCCGCAGGTGGAGGATTAGCCTAGTAAGCCGCGGCGCCGGCCAGTCATCTCTCTTAAGTGCCTCCAGCAGGGAGCTGGATCAAAAGTGGAGTAGCTGGGACTCACAGCAGCTCTCACAGAGCTGCCAACGCTGTAGGTGGCAGCTTGACCTGTTGTGCCACAACACCAGCCCCTATATATTGATTTTTTAAAAATAAATATTTATATCAAGTTCTACTTTAGTGAATAACTTTACTTATTCAAACAAGGAAGTCTGTTTAGTCCCTTGGAAAATGGAAACTTGCATTCTTATTTATCTACAAAAAGAATCCCCCCCACTGGAAGTTTTAAAACCAAACTCCCTGGAGTCTCCCCCTCCCCAGCTGTCAAAGCCTCCAGCAAGTGCAGGCTGCGTGCCTGCCGTCCACGTGAGGTCTCTCGGTCAGGATTAAACCTGGCGTCTCCTGAGGCTCCAGGTCAGGTCCGGTCCAGGCCATGTCTCTCTTAGCTTTGCCACCTGCTGTGGCTGGAACATGGCTGCTCTCCCATGAAGCTCTTGTTGAACCTGATGGCCCTGTGGCACTGCTGGCCCTTTAAGAGGTGGCTAGGTCATTAAGAGGGATCCGTGCCTTCCTGCAGGTTCTCACAGGGCTGGACCCGTGCTGCACGCACCCAGCCTGCCTTCCCTCGTGCCATGAACAAAGCCGCATCAGGCCCTCGCCATACGCAGCCGCTTGGTCTTTCATTCCCGATCTCTGGAAGCACGAGCTAAATAAAGTGTAGACTTCCCAGGTGCAACACGGAGCTGATGCCCCCTGTGTCTCTGGGTATCTGGCGGACAACGTCGGGATGGAATCACCCTTAGTCCGGCGGCACGGGGACGTCCACTGTGCAGCCCCACCTCTGCAGAGCCTTGATCTCCCCCGAGGCCCACGCACACCTGACGTCCACTCTCTTGTCTTAGAAGGCGCTTCCCTTGACTCCGCAGTGTCCTTCCATTCCACTCCTACCCCAGCTCGTCTCCACGCCCTCCTGCGGGACCCTGCTGCTTCCCGACGGGACACAGCCCAGAGATGTTTAACGCCTGCTTCTGCCTCTTTCTCCTCCCGGACAGTCACGCACCTGTTTCCCTGCTGTGCCCACAGAATGCAGGGCAGAGGTCCCCGTGCAAAGCACAAGGGCGTTGGGGCAGCTCCCAGGTACGGGAGCTGCAGAGCCAGTCTCGGGCCGGGGCGAGGAGCGTGTAACATAGACCCAGTCTTCCAGGGGCTGTCGGCTTGCATGTGGCTGGGGACAGTGGGTGCTGCCCGTGACGCACCATAAACACCTTGCACCCACGTCTGCGTGTTGTTCAACGTGAAAACTTGTCTAGAACCACTGATTTCTTCCAGTGGAAGCGTCCATGTCCACACGTGTGGAGACAAAAATGTGTCACCTACCCCTTCCTCCACTTGCAGTGGGAGAGAGAGGCGGAGGCTGGGGCCTTCCACTCACGCACACAACTCCTCTGATGTCAAGAGCAACTCAGGCCGCTGCCTCACAGAGCAGGAAGGAGACTTGGAGGCTATCTGATCATTTATTTATTTATTTTTATTTATTTATTTTTTTGACAGGCAGAGTGGACAGTGAGAGAGAGAGACAGAGAGAAAGGTCTTCCTTTGCCGTTGGTTCACCCTCCAATGGCCGCCGCGGCCGGCGCACCGCGCTGATCCGATGGCAGGAGTCAGGTGCTTCTCCTGGTCTCCCATGGGGTGCAGGGCCCAAGCACTTGGGCCATCCTCCCCTGCACTCCCGGGCCACAGCAGAGAGC